AGCCGTTAGTGACTGTATTGCTCAGGTTGTCAAACGTACTGCAGGAAGACCAGCGACCCGATGGTCAGAGTTCTTCACAAAGAGTCTTGAAGAAAGATATGATGCTCGACGAGTCCCTACAGCGAGCAGAACCCATTGGGCTACTCTTGCAGGCGAGAGGGAAAAATGGAAAGTTTACTGGCGCTCGCTCGAGTTACTCGACGATCAACGGGACTACAGGCGGTGCGGATAATATTTATTGCTTATTTAATTTCTATTTAATTTTTGCTTAACTTTTTAAACTTTAATTTCGATTCACTTTTATTTACCTTTCACTTATTTTTTATTTAATTTTTTTGATTTTTATTTAAGCTTTATTTATTTACTTATTTCTTAATTGCTTTTATTTATTTTTGTTTTATTCACTTTCAATTCACTTTTTTCTTATTTTTGAATTCTTATTCAAATTTTATCGAGATCCTATTTGAATCTTATTTATTCTTGTTCACCTTTAATTTTTTTGTTTTAATTCAATTTTTATTTAATTTTTACTTCATTTTTATTCTGTTTTCGTCCTTCATCCAATCTAATAAAACTAAATAATGAAAGTTAAATAGTTAATAAAAAAATTATTAAAATAAGACGTATAATACGTTCTTCAGAGCATCACATCATTCAACATTGTGTAATGAATAGTTCATTTTTATTTATTTCGGTGTAAATTCGATTGTTTTTCATTTGTATTTATTTATTTCTTGATTCCTGTGTTTAATTTTTTTATTTTTCAATTGTTCTTATTCTTAACTCGCCTCCAATTGTTCTCCATTTTTATTTGTTATTTATTATGTTCAACATGCCGCCGACTGACTAAAAAAAAGTCTGTAAAAAAGCTCTGCGCTGCTAAATAGCTCAAAGAAAATAAATCGCATTGAAGCTAAGGCGTGTGGTCCCAAACGTGTAAATGCCTACATATCGAAATGGTCAACCTGCCTTTGCTTTTGCCTTGTCAACCACTTTTAGTGAATTCTGTTTTTCCGCCTACAGATTTCTTAACACGTAACTCTTGGCGCTAAATTTCAGTGCATTACTTCTTGGAAGACGCACAGCATTATCGGTTACGGTCAACATTTTCTTCAATCGGATGACAAAGAAATGACATCAGAATTTCGGAACATTTCTATTTTTTCATACGCGGTATTTAGCAACGTTTAATAAAACTTTAAATACAAAACCATGTTTACGTCCAATATACTATCAGGTGGCTTTAGAAATCACTTTATTTGCTTTGATTGTTGGCCGTAATATCTGAAAAGAATTCCATCGAATTTCATCCCTTCATTTTTCATAACATCAATTTTCTCAACAGGTATTGAGATAATCAAATTTCATAGAAAGAATAGCTCACTGACTAGACCAAGCAGCTAGGCAGAGCTGAGATTTGCATACATGCTGCTGCTCGAAATGTTGAGTTCGTATAGGTACGGTCTTCTACTTCTGCTCTATGTATGGTATACAGCAAATCGATACTTCCATGAAAGGCCTATCGCTTAGAGATTAGAGGTTTCATGCTAAACGAACACGTTCCTTGGTTCAATACCGCAGTGTTCCAAAAAACTCTATCCATCTGCCACTGGCAAACTTGTGCGCAACTTCTTGTGGAAAAATTATCTACGATCCAAAAAGGAGAACAACTGCCTGTGGTGAAGATGTGAAAACGGTCTAGTGTGGGTTGCTTGAGATTTTGGATTGTGGGACAACGAAACGAATAAAGAAATCGATAAGAACAATACAGTATCAAATATTGGAAGCGAAGGATTCGTTGCCGAAAACATACCTCCTTCGGATCTACATCGTGGTGAACACCTGCATACGCCCTTGCAAGGCTAAGTCAGGACTCCAGGCAGAATCAAGTTGCCACAACCCGCAACAGTCCAGCCTCACTATCACGCACATTGAATGCTTACGTCTATGACGTCAGGCGGTGGGAGGATCGGTGAGAAGCCACAAAATTTTGGGCTACGGAAGACGTCGTTAGAACAGGATGTGACGAACAAACACAAGATACGCCATGGAGATTGTTTCTTACTCTGCACATGTAATGCCAGAACACTCTCAATGGACGCTGAATTTCACGCCCTCCTTGTAGTCGCAGATCGCGTTAAATTTCATGTGATCCCACTACAAAAAACAAGAATCAGAAAGACCGAGAAACGCTAGCTAAACAAAGGAACCCTTGTCAACCGTGGAAAAAATATCTTGTCACGAAATGTCGTCGTCGTAGGCTCCGTCGTACACCCGTCCATGTTCGCTCTCATCGACTTATATGAGATGCTAGTTGCCCTTCGTCATCAGCTGACGCGTTATAAGAAGATCGCAACCATTAACTGCTACTCATCGCCCGACGCAGCTGGTGAGCACAAATGAGATGCCTTCTACTGTCAGCTGGGGAAAGTTATCCGCAATGAAAAAGTATATGATAAATTTGTTGTCGGAGATTTCAACGCTAGAATAGGAAAGGCCAAAGACAGTAAACACAGTATTAAAAATTTGGATTAGGAGAAAGAAATGAGTGTGGAAACCGTATCGCAAAACTTCTGTCCGCGGAACGTCTTTTTTCATGGAAACTCGCTTTTTAAGAAGAAAGAAAGCCGCCGCTGGACATGGGAGTCTCCCAACGGCATGACTCATGCGGAGATCGACCATATTCTGACAAACCGAAGATGTTGCTTATTTCACAAATCGGCAATCCCGTCATTCGATGATTCGATTCAGTCGTAAGCTGGAGAAGAATTCATATTATCGACAACGGGGAAAAGGGCAAGTTGTATACAACGAAAACATTCTGAACGAAATCTTATCCAAACGTGACTGACTACCAGATAAAAGAAGACCCTACCGAGGACTACAAGCTGCTTTTTGTAGGATTGAAAAGCTGTGCTGAATTCGCCTTAATTCCTTAAACAAGTTGATCGGATCACATCCCCATTATTACTAAGAAGTTCCTCTAAGAAGTTTCAACCTGCTGCAACACGTTTAACCCAGCTAATAATAAACGCCAGTTGCAGAAGGGCTTTGGAGGAAGATCTACATCGATACAGAAAAAGAAAACTACTGGAATTAGCAGAGAAAAGAAGCACCTTGAAAAAATGCGTCGGGACTTGTGTGATTATAATGCTCCGCTGTCAGGCTTGATGGACATAGATGTGACCGTCAAAAATTCCCCATATGATATGGAATTAATAGCGGAAACGTCTATACGACCTTTTTCCGTTCCACAATCCCCGTCCAGGACCCTAATATCCCCGCTGGTGAAAGACCACCTAGAATTCTTCCGTCGGAGGTTCGAGTTGCGATAGAAATAATGGAAAGAGGCACAGCTCCAGGACCCGGTAATATCACAGCCGATTTCCTTAGAGCTGAAACCGACAATTTACGTGTCCTTCTCGCAAAGCATATGAGAGCCTACCTCTAAAACGAAAAAATCCTAGACCAGTGGAGGATGTCGCGCACGTTTATCCTGCCCAAGAAAGGAGACCGAAAGGATCTTTGTAACTACCGTCCCATATGCTTGTTAAGTGTACTCTACAAGCTCTTCACGAAGATTACCCTCTCACGCATATCAAGGACATTAGATAAAGCGCAGCCAGTCGAGCAAGCAAGATTTCGAACAGGATTTTGCTGCATGGACCACATCCAAACCGTGTCCAGGGTCATCGAAGTTCGTCGGGAATAGCACTTGCCTCTAGTCCTAACCTTTCTCGATTATGAGAAAGCGTTTAACGGTAACGAAACGAAGGGCGTCCTATCAGCGCTCGTCGGCCAAGGAGTGGAACCGTTTTACACAAAAACTCTGTCTGACTCTTCTCGGACCTGCAGTACGAAAATACAGCTTTTCCATCAACCTAATAGCACACTTAGAGGAGAATAGGTTCGAGAAGGCGACACATTATCACGAAACTATTTAGTACTACAATGTGGTGGATAGTGAAGTCACTCAGCATACGTGTTGATGGAGAATTTCTATCAAATCCTCGTTTCGCCGATGACATCGTCATCTTTTCATGAACTACCAGCGAGGCAGTGACGATGATCAACAAGCTCAAGGAAGCGAGAAAAAGATCACACTACGCATAAATCAGAAGATGGCTTAGTTCATTGGGAACCCACGGTGGACAGGCTAACAAATTGAACAGAATGGCTCTCTGATTCCACCTCGGACGTAGTATACCGTCTACCTTGGGCGATCAATGAACATGGAAAATAGTATAAAGGAGGAACCAGACCGAAGAAGGAGAGTGGCTTGGACCGCATTCGGGCCTCTCAAAAGAGCCACCGACCAACTGAAGGACCAGAAAATCCGCGCTCATCTCTTCGATTCTACGGCTCTCCCAGCGCTCTTTTATGCTGCAGAGACGTTGTTTGGTACTTCAACTGCGTCAAGAATGCTTCGAACTACTCACAGAGCGCTTAAGCGATGTATTCTGAAATATAACCGGCACTCTCAATATGTAGCCGGAATGCGAAGCTCTGACCTTAGAAATCTGTCACATCTTCGAGATTTGGGAGTATTTACATCGATAAGAAAACACAGATAGGCCAATCACAAAATGGGGGTAACAGACGACAGATGGACAAAAGAACTGTACAGTGGACTCCACGAGAATGCAGACGTCCCCTCCCTTGGACGGCTACTTACACGTTGGGCGTGCGTCGTCGCAAAGAAGGATAATCAGCTGTGGACGCAGCTGCAGTTATTTTACAGAACACCGTGTGGAACTCGCATTCGCTACCAAGCTCGAATGAACCACCACCATGAACGACGAATGCGAGGGATAGAAACGAATGGCAAATGTGCTGGTGTCCGCACAACTCGTGAGGACGGACCATCCACTTAACCTAGTAAGTATCCACACAATATTCGAAGACTGGCGATGACGAAGCAACGAAAAGTTTTCCTTTCAGTTCTAGTTATTTCAACAATCATTTTCTTACTAGTTGTATGGCAGGGTTTAGTTAATCTCTCAAGAAACCGTTGGGGAATCTTTGCTTTCTCCCACCTTTATGTTATGTTTACTCTCATGTGAACTGTCTATCATCAATGCTTGCGCTACCTGAAATGAGCATACAAGTGCCTCATCGACATTCATTACGGCTGCAGCGTTGTCGAATTGCCCACAATAGTGCGGTGCTGAGAAGATCGTTACCAGACGCTTATTCGCAAAAAATTCGAATCCATCTTGTACGACCTAAAATTGTTGGACATGTTGTGGTACAAAAAGCTCTACTACTGACTGAATGACCTGATGTGCTCTGGCTACTAGATCGATATCTAGAACTGGGAGCATTTTGTGCACGACGTCTGGACCAAATACGTACGAAACTCCTCGAGTGTTCCCTTGCCATCCCTGTGTTAAATTTTTAACTTAAAAAAGGACATTCAAAACTATTTAAACCTGCCCAAAATTTTTGATTAGATGCAAGCATGAATAGAAGGAATGGGCGTAGCGTCTTCACAACAAAATTGTAGTTCCTATAGACGACGTTTCCAGAGCATTCTTCAGGACACGGCCTTCTTCGTTATCGTCACAGGTTGCCCGGATCCTCCAACGGATCGCTATTCGGAGAGTTACACGCGAGACAAATTTGTGAGTGCAATTGGCGGATAGGACGTAAGTTGAAGACAGATTTAAAGATAGACTCCCTGCTTTGTCGTTTTCGATTGGTATAAGTTTATACGAGTTCTACAGCCAGGAAACATATTCATATATTCATAGATGCGCCAATAGATGCGCTTGTTGTATGGAGTTGTGTCCTGAGCTGCGTAACGTTTCGGTAGTTTATCCTTCTTCATGCACCACTCACCCATGTGAGACTCTGCGCGGCAGAGCTCCAACAATAACAAGAAGACATCTTAAGAACAAAACAACTGCGAAGAAGGCGAAGCTGTGAAAACGTCAACCAGTACTTAATAAACCCCGCTTTTAACAACCTATTGTCTACTTAATAAGAAGGCACTAATTTATTGACCAATGGCAAGGCTAATAGAAATTCGGTTCCTGGAATTGCTACGTGCAGTATCTCGAGCGCCAATTAGGCCAAAGGATAGGCGATGAAAGAAGATCTTATGTTTTTATTATGCACATACGTACCGC